AAATTAATATTGGAAGAATGCATGAAATTGACTTGGAGATCAAGCATCTATGGAAAGAAAGAAGTACATCAAATGTGATTAGAGATTTAATCAAAAGCTGTATGGACGAAGTGGATAATGTTTGATATATTATTCGAAATGGTTCAAGTTTGAAACTCACCATCAACAATTTTACAAGGTAAAATTTGAGAAGTCAAATTAAATTAATCTGATGGAGTTGGGGCTAGTTTACGCTTTGGGCGCCAATTACAAGTGGAATTTGGGAAGCAATTTCACTTGGGTGGCAATTGAGATGCAATTGCACTTTGGAGCCGATTTCATAGAAATTGAAATTGGGAGCTAGTTCGAAGCAATTGAAATTGGGAGCCAGTTTCAGAGAAATCAAAATCAATTGAAATTGGGAGAGAGAAATCAAAATCAATTGAAATTGGGAGCAAGTTTCACATGGGAATCAATTCAAGATGGGAGCCTTGCTCACATGGCAATCAATTCAAGATGGGAGCCAATGTAGAATTGAAATTGGGAGCCAATTGAGGTTGTAGTATGGGATGTGCAATTTCAAAGTTGGGGACCGATTCAAAGAAGACATGGAGATCAAATTGAATTGAGATGAAATTCAATACCAGGAGAAGTCTGGGAGTCAAAGTGAGGTTGTAGTATGGGATGCAATTTCAAAGTTGGGGACCGATTCAAAGAAGACATGGAGATCAAATTGAATTGAGATGAAATTCAATACCAGGAGAACTCTGGGAGTCAAAGTCAACAATTCAAATTGGGAAGCAATTGAAAGCACCAGGAGCAGTTTGGGAGCCAATTGCAAGTCAAAGTCAATTGGGAGCCAATTACAAGCCAATTGAAATTGGGTGTCAATTACAAAGGAGAAATTCAAATTGGGTGGAAGTTCAAAGCCAGTTTGAAGTCTGAGAACACCCAGACGTGAGAATGAAGAAGATGAAGATGAACTTACAGTGAAAATATTCTCACTTGGAAAATACTAGTCTAACTAGTATGGGATTAAAATAAAGATTATTTTTAAATCCCAAAGATACAAGGACCACTTCAGAGCTAATCAGAGAAGCCATTCTACACCAAAACTGAGACCCAGATATTTCCACTCAACGTAAAACCAGAGGAGTATCATATGAAGTTTGGGAGCTCATTTACATGGAGATGAAACTCCATCAACGGCTAGCTTATCTCTTTCTGACATTTTTGCAGAAGATAAGATAAGATCTCTGACAAAAGATACAAGATTTCAAAAATGAGAGCGTTTCTTTCCAACGGACAGATTCTCATTACCAGCTATAAAATGATGAAGATATGAAGACTTGAAGAATATAAGAGCAGAAGAGCATACAACGAACTCACGAACAAGAGAGCAGAAAATTCGAATCCATCAAAGGATCGAATAGAGCAATTAAGCTTAAAAGAACTCAGAGAGCTTCAAGAGAAAAATATTCAGAGAGTTCTTAAACAAAGCAAAGCAGAGCAAAAATATCAAGTGCTTTACTTGATATATTCAAAGAGAGAAAACACTCAGAGCTATCAAGAGAAATCATTCCAGAGTGTTTATCTTCATCAAAGAGACCTGCGCATCATTGAAGATCAACTACAGTGTCTCAGAAGTTGGAAGCAAGACAACACTTGTTTTGGAGCAAAACAAGAGAAGGGAGGAAAGTAGCACGGAGCTGTGAAATCCTGGATTGTCACACGGAGCTGTGAGATCCGAAGCAGCAGTGTCGGAGGCACTGGACGTGATTGGTGTGGGCTTGGTGATCAAAGCACCAGATCACGGGATACGTTTCTACCGGAGTGTGGAAGACGGGGGGAAAGTAACGCGGAGTCGTGAAATCCTGGGATAGTAGCGCAGCGACGTGAAACCCGAAGCAGCAGTGTGGTGTCACTGGGCGTGATTAGTGCCGGCTTTGTGATCAAAGCACTAGATCACGGAAGTTCATTGTATCTTGGAACCAAGAAGTGGTGGATATAGTGAATTGGCTCTTGGAGAAAAGAGCAAGTGGAGTAGGAGGATTACACCACCTCGCGAACCACTATAATTGTCTTGTGTTCTTTACTGCTTTCTTTACTTACCGCTCTTTACATATTCGCTCTACACGAGATATACTGCTCACACAATCTCACACACACTTTATGTTTAATTATTTCCGCTGTGCACCATACTCTAACAATCTAGTTAAGAGTTTTGGTTTATCTCTGTCTTAGCAATTGTTGTGCTGTGCGAAAAAGTTTGAAAGTCTATTCACCCCCCCCCCCCCCCTCTAGACTTTCACCCTACCTCTTTTGGGACCAACAAAAACAAACGGCGATATGGAACAAAATGTGACAAGAGTGTCAAGAATATCCTCTTTTGGTCAAAGCCCAAAGAATTCACAAGACATCAAAGCAAGCGAGAAAGGTATATCGATACAAGGATTGCAAGATTTTAACTAACGGGGATATTGAGAATATCAAACTCTAAACCGAACACAACCATCAACCTCTAACCAACAACCAATAACTAAGCAACTAGCTCAAAGCGCCAACCACCAAGACTAACTACTCAACTAAACAAACAAGCAAGAACAAGCACACAAGGCAAGCAACAAGTAACTAACAAACGGTAACAACAACTAAGAGGTAACAACAGGCTGCAGGAGGATAAACAGGCTTACCACAACTCCGATCTAGAACGACTCACTCTCCGATTCATTGGTGCTCTCCTCGGATTCTTCGTCATCAACTCCTCTACAACTTGAGCTGGCCACAATCAGATCTAGCATTTGGTGAACGGCAACAAACTGCGTCTTCATGAAAGTGAAGTCTTCTTCAATCATTCGGTTCTATTGACGAAGAAAGGTGACTACACGCTCCTCATGTGTCATGGAATCATGCTCCCTTTTGGTGCGGGCTTCCCTTCTTCTTTGATTTTCTTTACTTTCGGAATCACTTTCCTCGGCCTCGGCAGCTTCTGGTGCTTCCACCTCTTCTTCATGGCCTGCTTCCCCCTTGTCTTCTAAATCACCGCCCAAGCTCTGGACTGCAAGGTTCAACTTTCCAGCATGAATCTCGAGCTCAACTGCCAACTCGGCTCATTCTTCGGGGAATTTCCTTGCAACTTCTTCGAGCGTGATGTAATCACCATCGTCCAACTGAAACAAGTTGTAACTTCGAAGATTAGTGGCATCCAACACCATCTTTCCTACGGGTTTCGGCATGCAACCCTCAACGCTTACACCCTTCTTGACAAGAATCCAGCTCAACACCATACCATACGGTAGGCTCTTTGGGTTTTGATCACGATAGAAGACCATATGTTGCAACATCAAAGCCGGCAGGTTGAACTTTACCATGTTCTTAAGGCAGAAAGCAAAGGAGCACTCCAATTTTCCCAACAACCAACTTTTGTTGTTATTGGGCAACAAACAGTCTGACACAAGTATGACCAAAATCCTTTGCTCGGCGGACAACCATTTCTTCTCCGGTCTTGAAGCTTGAGTGAAACCACTCGTGCGACCCAACAAATAATTCAAATAGTCCCGGTACCCCATGGTATCCGTACTAATCCACGAGTTACCACTATACTGAGCAACTCCCGAAGCAGATAAACTCAAAAGCTGAGCTAGCCTCTTTTTAGACAAAACCACTTTCACACCCCTCACTTTAGAGGTGATTTCAAGCTTACCACCATCCTTTGTCACTGCCATGTGACGATAAAATTCCTTAACCAAACTTGGGTAGGTCTCGGCCCTTATGGCGAGAAACCCATCTAACAACCCTTGGAATCTAAGCATATCCAACAAAGAATTAGGAAAAGATTCCGGGTCGAAAGCTTTACCTTCAAGAACGAGGTAATGGGCATCCCCCCATTCCACCTTTCTAGCCAAACTTGATCTTCTAGGCATGATAGGAGATGATCCAAAGCTCAACAAAAGGAACCCAAAGCTTTCTTCTTCTTTTCCTTCTTCTCGTTGCCCTATCTCTCTCGCTGCTCCCTCTCTCCCGTTCGCGACGGCCCAGCGGCGGCGAGATGACCCCTGCAAACGACGATTCTGGCGGATGGCGGTTCGACGACGGGCAGGTGGTAGCGGTGGGTGGCAGGTGAAGGCGACGGGTTGGGAGGGAGGGTGGTCTCGGCTGAACACACAGGTAGAGGGGAAGGGAAAAAGAAATTGGGATTTAGGGATTTTGGGAGAAATTGAGGAAAGAAGATGATTTAATTTGGGGATTTGGGTAAAGTGAGAAATTATGGTTTAGATGGAATTAAAATTGGGTAAGTTTTAAGAATTATAATTAGTTTAAATGGTTAAAGGGGTGGGTTGGCAAATGGTATACCTAGGATTGAAACTCAAAGCTTGCGAATAAAAATCTACTTGTTTTTTAGGCTACACAACAAAGGATTTTTATGGATTTTCTATTCCCAAACTCAAAGAATACTTGGAGAAATTTAGGTGGTCCTCAAAGGAAAGGTTTGCAAAAATATCCATGTGCAAAGATTATGGAATTAACCCAAGCATGACTCATTTTTGGGACAAACAACTAACTCTATAACAAGGCTCGCACATAAAACTAAGAGAATCATTCATCAAGAGAGGCTTACACTTAAGTCCAAAAGAATCATTTATCAAGGGAAAAATATGACAAGGATAACAAGGCAGCTCAAACAGACAACGAAGGAACATGGCAACACACAAAGGTAACAAGGAACAAGATGCGTCTAAAGACAAGGGTAGGCTAGAAAAGAGGTTACTTGCTAGCTCCTCCTCCACTAAGCCTTCGGTCTCTGCTTGCGATCGTCCCAACACAAAGACTCTCCCCGATGGCCTGGCTCCGGCTGCTCCACGGCTTGAACTACTTCCTGCTGCTCCTCTGGCTCCTGGGGGTGGCGGCAACGCCCTTTGATTGGCTTGCTGAGGGCACTCGGCGACTTTGTGGCCCCTATCTCCGCATCGATAGCACCGAAACGCTTGGCCATTCCAATCCTGACCCACATGCACCTTCCCTCATCTACGGCATGCAAACGTCTTTACTTGATTTCCTTGCTCCATTCGGTTGGGTCCTTGGGTTAGAGATGATGCATTCCTGGCTTGAAAACTCGGTCGCGGCTTCTTGTAGCTGGAGGAGCCTCCACTCTCGGTCTTCTTTCTTGCAAGCTCATAAGACCCTCGCTGAAGCTGCTGAACACGATACAAATCCGAGGCACTCACATATGCATCCTTCAAAGAACTCGACCTACTCACGGTCAAGGCATTTCGTGCCTCATAATTTAAGCCAGTAATGAACTTCTCAACCTTGGCGAGCTTGGTAGGCACAAGCATCCAAGCGAAGATGGAGGAATTCCTCGTACATTGCGGCTTCTTATGGTACTCAACCACTGATAGAGATACTTGCTGAAGATGCAGGAATTCCTTGTACATCGCGGCTCGCACATGCGCTGGATAAAACCTCTCGCGCATCCGATCTTTTGGTGTAGACCAATATAACTCGGGCTCCTCAAGGTAGGCTGGACCCTTGTGTATCCACCATAGATCGGCCTCATGACAGAAGTAGAACGTCGCAAGCTCTACCCTCCGCTCATATGGACATTCAACAACCGAGAAGATCTTATCAAACGCTCTCATCCACTCCTCTAGAACAACCGGGTCTTCTTCAACCGCGAAGGTCGATGGTCTGTGACCCGACACAAGACGACCCATATCCCTATGCCCGGCAAGTTGAGTAGGTGGCACGGGATGGTTGTTGTTCAGCAACGCTACACAAAGAGTCTGCATCGTCTGCGTCAACTGCTGCAAGTTCTGGGCAAGCTGCTCATTCGTAGGGGTCTCCGGAGTACGTGCACGTTGACGGGGAGGCATCGCAAAGCTTCTACAAAAACAACACGGTTACCAACAAGACAACAAATAAGCAAACAACTACAAACAACGCTCAGTTCACCACGCATCCTAAGAATCCTAAGCCTAAACACTTAGATTCTTATGGTCACCTTAAGGTCTCAAACCAAACTTAGCCACTTAGAAGTCTAGACTCTAACAACCTAGGCTCAAACCTAGGCTCTGATACCAACTGTAACAAACCCTAATTGCCATGCTAAATTAAACCATAAACATGCAGATAACTAGCCAAAACATCATACACAGCAGAAGACTGAACAAGGATTATATAAACAGGAAATAAAAGGGTGCTATGCCACGCCCACCCAAAGGTGAACGCACAGACGAAACATCTGCATAAATCCACAATCTAAATCCATTCAGAAAGAGGAGTACTAATGTCTAACATTGCCACACAGGCCACAATGTCTCAAAGTAACGGGATCTAAACTAACAGGTTCTAGACCGCGCTCTCGTCTACACATCACTTGAAAGAAACTCATAAAATATGGGACGATGCCCGGTCAACGAATAATGCTGGTAACCCACCAATACCTATTAAATATCATACATAGATAGGTTATACGTATGTAAAATCATTTGCGAAACGGAATATATATATATAAGTTCAAAACCAAGAACAGGAGTCAACACAAGACTCTAAGCATTCACAACAAGACAAGGGAACACATCCCAAGACACAAGAAGTAATAACAACTCACAAGAACGGCTCAAGGTATAATCTACCATCACACAATAGATTAACACCCGACATGCATAACGCAAGAGAGTAAGGCCACAACCATCGACAACACATGCCTAGGCAACATATGCCTTTGTGACAACACATGTCACAAATAGATAAACACACAACAATGGCTACACAAGCCTTCATGACATCACCCATCACGAATTGATATGCCTTCCTTAATCCCGGTTCCAACCTTATGGCTACCCCCAACCTTATGTCTAGTTACAACCATTGCCTCCAGGACCCCTGTACACCAAGTCCAACCTTTTCCCTCCGAGGACCGTCATCCCCATCCGCCAACGACCGCCAACAAAACCACCAATTCATAGTACACGAGGGTACCGATCACACACACGGTAACACATGCCTCCCAAGAAATACGTGAACCCGACACATAGGTCACAAACTCCATAATCACGTCATGGCCACCACGAGGACCACTGCCGTACCTTGGTGACTAGTGTCCCATACCACTAATCGTACAATCCAGGTATAGCCACACACACCACATCACAACAGGAATCAATCAACGGATCACAACGAAGATATGAAACCATACTCAATCAAGGAATGGATCACAGTCCAACAACAACGATGATTAACACAAGTCATCATCAACAAAAGGAAAGGACAAACAACACACACGCTAGTATTTAAAAACCGAACTACCGTGCTTATCAAACGGGTAAACCGAACATAGTTCCGAAGAACACACAAGACTCATCACGGTTCAACGAATCACAACGTTGAACACTTAGCACGATTCAAGACACCAAAACCTATATGGATACCTACAATATAGTTCTAGACATACGAAACATCAAGAAGACGCTCAAATAGTTCCACAAAAGAACATCGGGAAGTCAAAAGATCAAATACCGAGTCAAAAGAATCACGGGGAACAAATCCCCCAATATTCACATCATGTACCCCGCGGGTGGGCCCACGGGTAGACCCTCACCCGTGGTTCCGCCCGCGGGCACTAACACCCACCGGCCATGTACCCCGCGGGTGGGGCGGCGGGTGGTGCACTGCCCGCCGTTCCGCCTGTGGGTACACTCTTGTACCAAAATTAATCCCTTCGGGGATTATCAACTCCAAGCTCAAATTCAAGTCCAAAACATGCCAAATCTCACCGAATACAACAAAATGACTTGAATCAAAGTAATAGCCAAGCAATGGCATACATGAACCCTAATAACAAGCTCTATATATGCATTTTCACAAGACAATGCATAAACACACACATTTCATTGCAAAATCACATGTAGAATCCAAAAATCATCACTTAGGTAAACAAAATAGATTTTGTAGAGCATGGGTTACCTCTTGTAGACAAAAACCTGCAATTAACACTTCACCAAGCTCCTAATAAGGCTCACCTTCTAAATAACATGGAGATCTACACCTTAAAGTATTGTAACAAAAGACGATTCTTTTTCTCAACGACACCAGTTGTAAGTTATTTTATTATTGATTTATGATTTCATGCACATTAACACATGTCTTGGAGCACATACTGCAATGCTGACAAGATTATCATACTCATGTAGGCATCTTCTATTGTGTATAAACCACCCGGATACAGTACTGAACAGCTGTATGAAAAGTTTCGAGAAAGTGTTAATCATGACATTGACACTGCTACTGGTGACCCTATGAACTGTCGTTTGGTAAATTAAATTCTACATACTTATATTACATTTGTGTTTATAATTTCTCCGAACTAAAAGTGTACTGATCAGTTTTTTTTCCCAGTGATTGCAGCTGATCAAATATATGTCATATGCATTGATATGGATGTCTATCATACATGCATACACATACTTGACAACTCTTCTGCTGATGTTGCTGGTATTGCCAAATATGGTCAAATACCATTTCTTTTGGTGAGTACTAATTAACACATTATAAAACATTTTATGAAGTCTAGGTTTTTCTGTATTTAATGCTTTTCTATTTATTTGCAGAAAGACTACTTTGTAAGATATTTGAACGAAAGGGATTCATACACCGCTGCAAACAGACTTAAAAAGGCTACACCTGAAAGAATACTAATCCAATGGAGTGGTACCGAGAAGAAAGGTGATAGTGGTGTATTTACAATGTGGCACATGCAAACATACATTGGGGTGGAGTGATTGGTTTTCAAATTGACAGCAGTGAAATTAAACCATCAGATCTTGCAGACCTCAGGGTCAAATACATTACAGCAATTTTAACTACTGGAATCAATGAAGTGTCTGGAAAAAACATGGAAAAGGCTGGTATTAAGTACGAAAAATAATGAATATTTTTTATTGTTAAAGGTTTTATTAATTTACATTAGTTTAGCATCTTGATGTAAACTCCTTTGGTTTTGAAACACATTAATATATATTTTCACGCATCTTGTATGTTGCATGAACGCATATTAAAAATTAGCTTATTAATTCATACAATTTATATTCTTAATATGCGTCCACTTAACCTTGAACGTGCTTTTAAAAAACTTTAATGTGCGTTCATTTTCGTGATAAATAAAAAGTTGAAATAAAAAAGAAAAAAAATGCAAAATCTTAACATTTTTTTAAACCACGGTTGATCTGTGTTGATATTCGGTATTAAAAATTACATTACACATTGCTTAAGTTCATTCATATCTTAATGAGCGTTCGTTTGCATACTAAAATAACATGAAAAATAATAATTATTAAAAACAACTATAAAAAAAAGAATATAAATTCAAATAAATTAATGTGCGTTCAAAAACACCATTACGTGCGAGTTATTAAAGTATAACGTGCGGGACCTCAGTTCTTGATTTCCGTACGTTTGAGTACCAATTAAAATAAATCATTTCGCAAAACTCTTTAATATGCGTCTCATATCTCCTTAATATGCATCTCAAATCTCTTTGATATGCTTCTCATATATCTTTAATATGCGTCTCATATCTCTTTAATTATGCGTCTCATATCTCTTTAATTTGCGTCTCGTATCTCTTTAATTATGCGTCTCATATCTCTTTAATTATGCGTCTCATATCTCTTTAATATGCGTCTAATATCTCTTTAAAATGCATCTCTTATATCTTTACTATGCGTCTCATATCTCATTAATGAACATCCGTCCGTCTAACACTTACTATGCGTAGATGTAATACACAATGTGCTTCAAAAATATAACTTATCGTTCTCCATTTTCATAACCAAATAAACTAGATCAATTTTCTGAAATAAAAAAAAATAACAAATGTATATCCACGATAACTACATACTATATAACAACAGAGAATTGAAAAAGATTTGGAAGCAAAAACAATGGACATCGCAATGCTAAACGATCGAGAAACGATAGACAACTCAGCGATTCTTTGAAAAGCAAAAACAACGGCGACGGCAATGCGAACGACAATATAGAACAGCGATTAAAGTTAATTTAATCAAAATTACTAATTTGTCCCTCAGTACGCGAATACAATAAAAAGTACGCAAATTTCAAACTTTGAGATCAACGGTCAGGATATTTTTACTCATTAAAAACGAACGGCATCCTTGCAACCGCACAACCGCACCGAACAGTGCCACCCGCACCAGAACCCTTGTATATATATATATATATATATATATATACATATATATATATATATATATACATATATATATATATATATATACATATATATATATATATATATATATATATAGTGAAAGGTTCCTGTGCGGTTGATTAATGTGCATGAGATTTATATTCAATATGCGTGAGTATTGTGTTTAATGTGCCTGAGATTTGTACTTAATGTGCGTGAATGTGTAATGTTAATGTGCGTGGGTGTGTGTGAGTCTTGTGCCTAAGGTGCGTGAGTTGTGTGTTTAATGTGCGTGTGTAACACGTGTTACGACCCCTAAATTAGAACTAATCTAATTATCACCCACCCCAAAAAGGGAATTAAAATCCATTAAGTGGCTAAAGAGGGGTTCACTATGGATCATGAGCCCTGAGCCCTAAAACCAAACCCCTAGTCCCATAGGAATTAGAATTAACAAGCCCATACCACTTAGACCCTAATTAGGACTCTTAGGTATATAAATAGGGACATAGGAGACACCTAGATCTCACACCACCATAATCTCCCACCACACAAGAAGTTCCAAGAATCCCCTTAGGAGAAACCAAGAAAGAAGAAAGCTTAAGGAAAGACCCTTCATAGCCAAGGAAATTAATTAAGGCTAAGAGGTAACCCATGTCTCAACAAAACCTATTTTCTTCACTATGATCTCCTTCCTTGGCCTCCTGCTATATATGTGTGTCTTGATTAATTCTTCTATGTTGATTGTGATATATTCTTGATGATTGATAAGATGACTTGGGTGTATTCTTGATATTCTTGATGATCTTGATGATGAAAAGAGGTTTTTGATGTTGATGTAAGGATTCTTGGCAAGTCTGGATATTTCTTGATGTTAACGATATAATGTGATTTTGATGATTTGGGGGAAATTAGCGCCCTAGGATGAATTGGGAATTTGTGTTGTAATGCTCTTGATTTATATTTGGGTGGGAATTCACATGCTCGGGTGTTGTTTATATTTAGAAGTCATGATAAGTCAAGTTACATGTGATTCTTGCTTTTTATCCGTTAATTGACTACGTGGTGTCGTTGATTGCGTTTAAAAGTGTCTAAACATGGTTTCGGGTTCCACAAAGGATCCCGGGACGAAATATTGATGAATAAGTCAGTGGGGGGTAGGTGGGGGTAGGGGTACCCGCCACCTACCCGCTGCCCGAAGATCACCGCCGGGCAACGGGCAGGCGCCGGGCAGGCGTCCGCCCGCCGGCAACCAGCTGCCGGGCAGTGATCTCCGGCGGGCAGCCGGCGGGTGATCCCTCACCCACCGGCTACCCGCTGGTTTGTGACCCCCCCCCCCGGGTCCCCGACTTCCCCGTTTGATGTTCCCCATTCCCCGTGGCGTCCCAATGGACCCCGTTTGTCGTACCTAAGTCTAGTTTGATGTTTCGGGTACCGTTCGTAGGATAAGTGAATCTTAGGAATTGCATGCTAGTTGAATTGGTAGCCCGTTGACCTAGGTGGATGTTGTATGAACTCCTTAGGACGATTCTTAGTATGTGAATGATCACACGTAAGTTTAGTTATATGCCTCCCCTTCCCAATGTGTTATTATGTGCTATAATGTGTTATGTGATGCATGATTCCCCAATTTGGTTGCGATCAAATTGGCTATACGGGCAGTTGGATGGGTTGAGAACCATCCCAACTGTTAACCAGGCCGGTTGCGATCGGTCAGGTATATAAATATTATATAGGGATGCAGTCCACTATTGATTATTTATGAGCTGCGGTTCATTCTCCTAGCTGCGGTCAGTGATTCACTTCTTGGGCTGCGGTCCACATGGACCTCGGTGCAATGACCCACCGGACCTGAACGCGCCAGGACGGTGTGTAGGGCCAATAAGCCGAGGAAGGCTGTAGTCCACCGATCCGAGTAATCGGGGCGGTGTGTAGGGCTACGGCTGGCTGCGACCCACCGAGCGATGGGACGACGGTGTGTAGGGCCATAGTCTCCGAGGATCTTCGCCCACCGACTGAGTATAGCTCCGCGGTGTGTCGGGCTTGATCCGCTATGGTCCACCGGCGTACCTATCGTCGGTGTGTAGGGTCGTAAGTCCCCCCTTGAAAAGGGGATCGCGGTCCACCCACTAGGTGCGTCAGCGGTGTGTAGGATCGTGGTCCGACGTTGAGTTCGTCAACGGTTCTCAAATGGTTGGTTGCGATCAACTCCCCTCGTACCACGGTACTGAGGTAGGGTGCTGCGGGGCCGTGTTAATGCTATATGCATTGACCCTCATGTTCGGGGCATGCGATTGGTCCCGTGGCGCCATCAATAATAATGTGACATGAATGGTGATTGGATGATGATGTGTTTGGAATTGGAAAGTGATCAGTGACCTGAGATGTGTATTCCTTGTGATGTTATCTCTACTTAAATGCTTATTGTAGTTTTGCATTTCCTCATTTTACGAAAATTATCAGAAATAGTTTGCTGACATAGAATACTGATTGATTCAGTTAAGCACCTACTTAGTAATGATAGATCATGAAGAGAACATCAGAGAAAAAAAAAAAACAAACACACAGAACGAACACTCACAATGTTTACCCAGTTCGATACGGTGTGTATCTACGTCTGGGGGACGATCACATAGGCGTCCAATCCACTAAGTCATAATCCAATGTACAAAGGTAGATATACAATAATCTTACCCAAGTGCCCCACACAAGGTACATACCGAGTCTACACAGGTTTAGTGGATTGTTGAAGATGGAGAGCCATGGATACAGAAGTCCGATGAAATCCCTTCACTTGAGAGCCAGCTCTGATGCAGTCCACTTCAGTGACGCTCTATAAGGTTGTTCCCACAACAGTGTGATCTTAGTGTCCTTTCGTTTAAGCAGCAGTAACTCTTCTCAAGTTCATCATCTTAATCACCATGAACATGTTGTATTGAGAAGGTGCATGACCATCAATGATCTAGACTCATCAAGCTGATATGGAGTGTTTCTTCTTCTTATTTGGCGTAACCCTAGTTCCCTTAACGAACTGGTACTTATAGATCCTTCTATAAACACTCTCCATAAAAGATCTTTGATTGTAGAAGGTAGCACTATAAAAGAGGAATGTAATCTTTGCAGATTTGGTCCATTATCTTCTTTGAAGATACGCTGATCGTCTTTCCATACTGAGCTGATAATACCGCGTAAGACTCTTAAGGAAACAGCTTTCCTAAATCAGATCTTAAGTGTCAGATCTTCTGTCGTTGCTTCTGCTTGATCAGTAAACTGTAGACCCAACCGGACAGACTCTAAACCTATCTTAGTATGCCATAATAATATTGCCAATTATAATATGGGGTTTTTGAACATTTAAACACTAACAAACTCCCCCTTTGGCTATTATTTGGCAAAACAACTCAACTATATAAAAAGAACTAAGATTGGTTATTAAAAGAAGCAACCCAAGTGTCCAAAATGATTACATAGGATAAAAAGAACAGAAGATCCAAAGCAGTCTAAAAACAAAAAAAAAAAAAAAAAAAAAAAAAAAAAAAAAAAAACGACATCAATACATAACGCCCAGCCAGGGCCAGAAAGAACTCGATCACAAAAACTCCCCCTGAGTTTACTACTCCCCCTTTTTGCCAATGGTAGCCAATGATTAAGCATTTGAGGGAGAGTCACAGTCAGACTTCATGGGATCCTCAGCAGCAGCAACAGTATCAGACAGGCTCATGCGGAGAAGAACAGTAGCTAGCTCAGTGCGCGCACCAGTCAGTTGCTTGGCAATGATACCGTGTACCGTCTCAAGATCAGCAACTCGCGCCTTCAATTGTTCGGAAAGCTTCTCATCTTTAGCATGAGGAGACTCATCATTCACAGCATCAGGTTCCGAATTGGATGGGGCAGTCACAGGAACGACATCCTTAATATGATCTCCAGAAAGAAGACGTTTATCAACAGTATATAGCAGCGTCGGAGTGATCACTTCGCTGGGTATAGGCTTAAGACCCTGAGAGGTAAGGATGCCAAAAATCAGATTTGGAAACGGTAGTCTTACCTTCTGTTCCCGGGGATGAATCAGAGTTAGAACATGATAAAAAATCCATTTGCCCAGATCACACTGCATCTTAGTTCCAATTCTAAATAAGAACCCTACCAGAAGCTTGCCAACTGTGTTGAAATGAGCTGATGGAAGCCAGTTGTGCAGAGCCAGGCGATGTAGGATGACATATCTAAACGTGAGATGCGAGCTCAGCAAATAGTCCTTATCTCCTGTAGGCCAAGATGTAGTATGTCCACCGGTAAGAGTTTTGGCCACCACGTCCCATTCAGTAACAGTTTCTTCTTGCACTGTAGGCAAGCCATAGTATTTATTTATCACATCTGGCCCAAAATCATACCACTTCCCTCTGATGAAGATTTGCATCGGTCCTGGCCCTGTGAGACTGTCAATCTCATCACTGAGATTGCAATAGAACTCATATGTGAGCAGCTTGGAGTAAGGGCAAACATTTGTAACAGTTTTTAAAAGACCAACTTCATTCAGCAAGGGCAGAATGTCGCAAACGGAGTTCAGTTGATTCTCATCCACTGTTCTTTGAACAATCAGCTCCCTTTTGACCATAGTGGCCCATTTTGTTTGTGCAGCAGGTGATACAAACTGAGGTTTGTAAACAGTAGTATCAATTCCTTCAATAGGTGGAACCTCCGGAGTTACACTTCGACCTCTTGACCTTGTGGTAGGTTTCCCTTTTCTGGCAGAGGGGGCTGGTGCAGAAGTAGCTTGAGCAGCAGTAGTTCCTTGTTGCTTAACAGAGGAACGTAGAGTCTTGAAAACTTGGTGGATAGGAGGGTCTCCTTCAGGCTTAGCAGTCTCACTCGACTTTCTCTTCTTCACAGGCTGATCCACATCAACATTATCAGCACTGGTTTCAACAACAACCTTTGTTGGAACATTCTTCCTTTTTGTCCGTCTTGTTTCTCTGGATGGGGACTGAACAGGAGTCACCGAGTGGCTAGAATCAGAAACATTTGCAGATGAGCTCCCAACAATATTTGATATCTCTCGAATTCTGAAATTCGTGGAATCAGGATGAGCAGTTCCCTCAACAGTAAGGGCAGCAGAAGAAGGTGCTTGGGATCCATACACCTCAGCCAGTATCTTATCATCTTCACTGAAGGATTCGGAAGGGTGTATCACTCGATAAAGTTGAGGGATCGAAGCAGATGGTAACCCAGCAAAATGTCGCACATGTTCCAGGCTTTCTCCTAAAGATGTTGCAGTGTAAACAGGAACTCCACCTGTTTTCTCAGACTTGTGGGGACTTGATAAATCAACAGTTTTAACAGTTGTAGGTAAGGTAGGAGGATCAACAGCTGGATTTGGCTCTTTAGAGACATTAACAGTTTCAGACGGAGGCAGAGCAATATTCTCAGAAGCATAAACAACCAGACTCAGTGGATTTGGCTCATCAGAGGACTTTGTTTTCTCATCAGACACACGCAACGCATCAGATTTTTCACCAGCAAAATTAGTCACAGGCAAAGATAGAGGATCAACATTCACAGGGGACTTCTCGGAACCCAAAGCAGATTGATTTTCAGGCAAAACAGACACAGACGATGGAATAGAAGAATCAACAGGTCTATCAGGAGAAATTTCAATAGGAGTTTCAGAATCATTTACCCGTTGTCGAAGAATCTCCTGTCTGTGTGTTGCTTCTCTCTGAGCAGCTTCAAGATACAAAGCTTGGGACTCCTCTCGTCGTCGAGCTTCTTCAACAGATTCTAGGGCACGTTGAGCAAAAAATTGAAGGAATGCCCCGGCCCGATTTCCATCGAAGGGTTCTGGAATAAACACTGGAGAGACGTCATCACTAGCTTCGGCGACCAACACAAGAAGTTCAGTTACATCATCTGCCGACCATTCAGCATAAAACTCCGGATAGTTGGTCATAACAGTCACCAGAATCTCGTCGCGAAGCAGAGGATCAAGCTTGAGCTTCTTCTTCATAGCCAACTGTAGAAGCGTTTGAATGTGTTTGAGGGCCGCCCCCGGAGGATGTACCTTGCTTCCAAGCTTAATGATGATGTTTCTTACGGGGTCCGCCATTTAAGATTAAGTGCGAGGAGAAGAATAGAACACCGAGAGCAGATAATCACGGGAAGTGGAGAGATGAGAGCTGAGGTGATTTCTTTCTTCTTGACCCGGTATCATATAGTCTTAAGGGTGATGAACCCTAATTAATGCGGCAAGTCAAAATATCATGCAGAAGTTATTGATGGACACAACGGTACAGCTCCTTTTTTAGAAGGAAACGGAACCCAAGGGAATTTGAAATTCAAAAAGCATAGAGATCTTTTAAGATATCTTTTGAGAAGAATAAGCTTAGATGATCTTCTTAACATAAAAAGAGAGGAGTCTTTAAGGAAATTCAAAGTCATAACACTGACCCGTATTAAACCAACTCCTCTCTGACGGATCGACTGCTTTAGTCAGTCAATTCTGCAAATTCCCAGAGCAGATCTGAGAATTTCAAAACGATTAGCATCCAGTGGCTTAGTCAGAATGTCCGCCAGTTGTTTGTCAGTCTGAATGTATTCCAACTCAATTTCCTTGGATTCAACCAGGTCTCTGATGTAGTGATGCCTGATGTCAATATGCTTCGTTCTGGAATGTTGAACAGGATTCTTGGAGATGTTAATAGCACTGACATTGTCACAAAAGAGTGTCACAAGGATCATTGTTCCTTGTGTAAGACCATAATCCAGAAACATCTGTTTCATCCAAACCAACTGAGTACAGCAACCACCTGCGGCTATATATTCTGCCTCTGCAGTGCTTAGAGAGATAGAGTTCTGTTTCTTACTTAACCATGATACTAAGTTCTTCCCAACAAAGAAGCATCCTCCAGAAGTACTTTTCCGATCATCAATATTCCCTGCCCAATCAGCATCACAATATGCAACCAGATTCAGTTCACTATCCTTGGAATACCAGAGTCCATACTGTATCGTTCCTTTCACGTATTTCAAAATGCGTTTGGCCGCTATCAGATGTGATTCCTTTAGGTCAGATTGATACCTTGCACAGATTCCAACACTGAACATTATGTCTGGTCGACTAGTTGTTAGATACAACAGACTGCCTATTAAGCTACGATAGACTGTGTTATCCACTGATATACCAGTTTCATCTTTCGATACTTTTGTAGAAGTGGAGATCGGTGTTCTGGATGGTTTACATGATTCCAGATCAAATTTTTTGACAAGATTCTTAGCATACTTTTCTTGTGAAATAAAGTATCCTTCAGAACTTTGCTTGACTTGTAGACCTAGGAAATATGTCAGTTGACCAACCATGGACATTTCAAACTCTTCCTCCATGACTTTTACCAACTCATCAGTGTATTTCTGCAAGGTTGATCCAAACACAATGTCATCAACATAGATTTGAGCTATGGTTACATGATTTCCAGTCGTTTTGACATACAGAGTTTTGTCAACACTTCCGCGTTTATATCCGTGCTGGAGCAAAAACTGTGTCAAACGTTCATACCAGGCCCGTGGGGCTTGTTTAACGCCATAGAGAGCTTTTCGAAGCATATAGACATACGAAGGACGTTCTAGATCTTCAAAACCTTTAGGTTGAGCCACATAGATATCTTCATGGAGATACCCATTCAGAAATGCTGTCTTGACATCCATCTGATATAATGTAAATCCCAAAATGCAAGCGACAGCCAGCAAGATTCTGATTGACTCAAGTCTAGCTACAGGAGCAAATGTCTCATCATAGTCAACCCCTTCAATCTGTGTATAACCTTGAGCCACCAACCGAGCTTTGTTTCTGGCTATATTCCCTGCTTCATCAGTTTTATTTTTAAAGATCCACTTCGTTCCTATTACGTTGACACCATCAGGTCTTGGTACAAGATTCCAGACATGATTTCGCTCAAACTGATGTAGCTCCTCCTGCATTGCATTGATCCACAGATCATCCTGTAGAGCTTCTTTGACATTTTTTGGTTCTATCTTTGAGGTATAGCAGTAAGACCCAGATATTTCTGTCAGATTATTTCTTATTCTGCTTCGGGTTTTCATTCCATCTGACAGATCTCCATTAATGTTATCTGATGGATGGTTTTTCTGAGTTCTGGTGGGTTTGTCTTTAACAACATCATTCATGAGATCTATCTCTTGCTCCGAACTTTCTTGATCTTCATCTGATGAATCTTGTGGTTTGAGTTGACTGTTGTTATTACTTGCATCTGAATCACGTAGAGGTGACTCTATCACTGTTGAGTCCACTGGTTCTTCTGGATTGTCATCGACAACCACGTTTACTGACTCCATCACAGACTGAGTCCTCTTGTTGTAGACTCTATAGGCACGACTGTTCGGAGAGTATCCAAGAAAGATGTTTTCATCACTTTTGGGTTCAAACTTCCCTCTTTGTTCTCTGTCAGCCAGCACATAGCACTTTGTCCCAAACACATGAAAGTATTTCAGATTTGGCTTCTTTCCCTTCCAGATCTCATATGGAGTTTTCGTCGTCCCTGGTCTAAGGTAGACCCTATTTATAGTATGACACGCTGTGTGAACTGCTTCAGCCCAGAAACGTTGTGGCATATGTGAGGCATGTAGCATAACTCTAGCCATTTCCTGTAGCGTTCGGTTCTTTCTTTCCACCACTCCATTCTGTTGAGCAGTTCTAGGAGCTGAGAACTCATGTGAGATACCATGCTCGGAGCAGAAGTCTGAATATAGTGAGTTCTCAAATTCCTTTCCATGATCACTCCTCAATCTCTGAACTTTTATAATAGACTCATCTTTTTCCTTCTGAACTCTTATGCACAGAGTCTTGAAGGCCTTGAAGGCTTCTGTCTTTTCTCTCAGAAAGTAAACCCAGCTGTATCGAGAGAAATCGTCTACACACACAAATATATATTTCTTTCCTCCAATGCTTTCAGTCTGTGTTGGCCCCATGAGATCTATTTGGACAAGATCTAGACATTTCTCAGTGGTGATACCTCTTACTGCTTTGTGTGGAGTTCTGATTTGTTTCCCAATAGCACATGCGCCACAAATTTTCTCTGGATCAATTCTGATCTTCGGTACACCTTTTACTGCTTCAAGTTTTATCAACTTATCCATATCTCTGAAATTTATGTGACCCAGTCGTCTATGCCAGAGTTTTGATTCATCAGATTTGGATAGGTGACAAGCAGTTTCATTTTTCAAAACATAACAGTTGTCTGAAGACCGAGTTCCTTCCATGACAAGTTGGTTTTCTTTGTCACTCACTCTGCAGCAGTTACGATCGAATCATACATTCCAATTTTGATCACATAATTGACTGATGCTAATAAGATTCGCTTTTAATCCACTGACTAGCAAGACTTCTTCTAATTGAGGTAAACCTGGAACATTTAGGACTCCTTTCCCAACGATTTTACCCTTTTGTCCATCTCCAAATGTTACAGCTCCACTGCTAGGTTGAACAGCCATCAGACATTTAATGTTTCCTGTCATATGTCTGGAACAACCACTTTCGAAATACCATCTAGCATCAGTTGTAGATGCAGTTAGAACAATGGTGGGATAACAGATAACTTCTGACTTTCTGACCCAAACCTGTCTAGTGAATGGTGTAAAAGTCTTATTCTGATATTTCTCCTTCCTTTGATCTCTGTAGAAAAAATATCATTCGGGACGAGTATGACCTTTTGTGTGACAGTAGTGACAAATGGGAGTATAATATTTAACTTTGACAATCTTATTTTTTAATCTCGAATAATGAGATTGATAAGTTGATTTGTCCTGGTCAGTGTTCGTACCGTATCTCCTTTCCTTGATTTGTACTGACTAAGATGACTGTCCTTGTTCATACCTGTGATATGCTGTGGTCTTAGACATTCCCTCTTTGATGAGCTTTGGTGCGTTGTTCGAAGATTCTCCTTGCTCAATCCCAGACCCTTTTTATCATTAGGGTTTCTGCCAGAGTCTAGAATTTTATCTAAGGTAGATGTGGTGTCCATCATCAGTATATTTTTCTTCAAGCTCTCCAACGCCTTGATTAATTTTCCTTCTCTAGACCGTATCTGAGTGATGAGATCTTCTTTTATGACCAGTTCAGCATTCAGTTTCTTTATAAGATCATCTTTTTGCTTTAGATCGTCATTCAGATTCTTATTTACTTTCACAAGTTGTTCCCAGCTAGCGACAAGTTTTGCAAATTCTGCCTCAAGTAGAATATGTCTCTCTTCAAAATCATCTGTTGATATGTATGATTCTCCATCTGATTGATCTCCGTCTGATTGAATGTTTGTGGCAGTGAAGAACGCTACAAAGTTTCCTACATTATCATCTGATTGATCATTTGAATTTTCCTCCTCATCATCACTAAGAGTAGCTACAGACATAGCCTTTTTCCTTTTAAGATATGTTGCACATTCAGCCTGTATGTGACCGTATCCTTCACATTCCCTACACTGCACTGACCGATTGAGGGATTTTCCTGTGTCTGTAGCACTATTTCTGTTTTGTCTCGATCGCCCAGTCTGAGATTGATTGTTCTGTGAGAAGGGTGCTGTTTCAACCTTTTGATATGAAGGGTTGTTGCCTTTGTATTGTGTTCTTGTAGACTGACCTTGACCCTTTCTGTTGAACCCTTTTAAGATTTTCTTGAAGTTTTTGGTTAGGAGAGCTAGGGTTTCATCATCTATGTCGTCTGTGTCAGATTCTCGATCAGCTTCAACCACAAAGGCTACAGACTTTCCTTTCTTGTTGCTTCCAACATCATCATCAGCAAGAACTTCCAGTTCATATGTGTGCAAGCTTCCCATGAGTTCTCCGACATTCTTCTTTTCCCAACCTGTGTGTTCCTGAATAGCCGTTACTTTCATTCGAAAACGTTTAGGTAGGGATCTGAGAATCTTTTTGACCACTCTCTCATCAGTGAATGGTTCCCCAAGAATTGAGGCTCAGCTCATCAAGTTCTGGACCCTACTGTGGAAGGTAGAGATGGTTTCGTCTTCAGTCATTCTGAGAGCTTCGAATTCTGACAGAACCATTTGCAACTTTGACTGTTTGACATCACTGGTTCCTTCA